GTTGATTATGGACTTTGAACATGTATAACTTAGAGGGGATTCTTGGGTGGCAGAAAAGTTGGGTTTTGTCTAATCATCTAGACAGGTTTCCAGTGCGCGCCCTTGGTGCCTTAGATCAATTTAAGGGATTGCAGGTGCTTTCAGGAGTTGCAGTTTCTGAGAGCTCCTTTATCTTTAATGTGTTCAAAATTAAATCAAATAATAAAAACAATAACCCAAAAATCTTGTTGATGTCCTGGACCCAGATGCACCCTTCACCAATGTCGAGCCCCAAGCTCAGAAAAGAGACCCACCCTGCACTGGGCCCTGGGTGCAGACTACAGCAAAGGCCTCCTCCTCGAGAAGGGGAGAAGATCGGAGGGGGCCAGTTACAATCAAAAGTCTCCCAGAAGCGCAGGTACTCCCCTGCGTCCTGATGCTCACCTGTGTCTTTAAAATACATGTATGTCTTAGTTTATGTTGGTGCCAGGTGGAGTTAGTACCCCTCCTATGTAAGTCTGGAGGAGCAGAGAGCCGCACCAGGTCTCCACCTGGACAAGGAGAAAAGAAAGCCAGAGAAAAATCATTTTTTTAAGTGGAGAAAAAAAGAAAAAGGGAGGGGGGAAAAAGAAAGGGATACGAAAATAAGAAACGCAAGATGGGGAGGGGAGGGAGGGAGGTAAGAAGGGAGGAAGGAGAAAGGACTAAAAGAGGAAAGATAAGAATTGAAGAAAGAGAGAAGGATGATGAAGAGAAAGAAAGGAAAGGAGGGTGGAAAGGAAAGAAGAAAAGCAAATTTTTAGAAGACCTAATAAAACAAAACTACAAAATGACATAGTGCATGGGAGGAGAGCTGTGACTGCCCTGGAAGACTAACCAGGCCTTCTGCAGTTCTGGGAGCCTCTCCTTCCTCTTTATACACAAAACAAATGAGGGTTCTCAATGTAAATGAAAAGCCCCCCAATTCCTACCCCAATCCATCTAAACTCAGGTGTGCTCTTCTGGGCTAGAATCACCACCAGCTACCCTAACACCCTCTTTGCTGACCCCCTCACTTGGCTGCCAGGGGTGGTTCCCCCCTTCCTTGGGCTGAAGACCCTCTCTGGGGGAGGGGACCAGGCACTTTATGCCCAGCAGAGGGGGATGGGATCTCGAGCCTATGATTGACCCTTGGGCACTGACCTTTCCTGCTGTCCTCCAGGGTCAGGATTTAACCTTTCGCTCCTCCCTCTCAGTGTCCCTAGGCAAGGGGGAAAGGGAGAGTGGGTCGATATTTGGGGCTGGCGGGGGAGGGAGGGTGCAGTGCCTGTACCGCATTACCAGAGGCTGGAGCACAGACCAGGACACTCATTCCCCATGCCCCAGCAGCCAATCTGGACAACCCCGCACTTGCCTGAGCCAGATGTCAAGGCCCAACTAAACCCTGGGACTGATATAAAAAACAAACAAACAAAGAGGAGAGAGCGCAGTCTTTCCCAGTTGTCCTCCCCGGTTTAGAGCAGCCTCCCTTGGCATAAAGCTCTCCCTTTTCTGCTAAGGCACTAGCCATTCTTTCACATTTGAGGATCCTAGGGGCTTGGCCAGGAAGAGGGGGAAGAGGGCAGGCAGCAGTACAGAGCCAGAGCTGGACTCCTCACAAGGATCAAGCCTTTGACTACTCTCTGGTAACAGACGCCAGGAAACCCAGTGAAGAAATCAGGCCAAAGTCCCAGGCCACTGAGCCCTACTGACCCTGCTCCCAGTTGTGGCCCAGACAGTGTGCACCAACCCTGCACCTGCCCCATTCCGCCAACTTCCGAGAGCTTCAGGACCTGAGCCCCAGAGGGCTCTCCCGGACAGGGATAGAGGAAGAACGGCAGCAGCAAGCAGCAAACCGGAGGCTGCAGAGGCGGGGGAAAGGCCCCCCCCCCGCCCCCCCC